AAGAGGATATCAGAAAATGGAAAGATGTCCCTTGCTTCTGGGTAGGAAGAGCCAATATAGTGGAAATGGCCATACTTCCAAAACTGCTATATACATTCAGTGCAATCCCAATTGAAATCTCAACAGTATATTTCACAGAACTAGAGAAAACAATCCAAAAATTTATTTGGAACCAGAAGAGACCTAGAATAGTACAAGCAATTCCAGGCAATAAAGACAAGGTAAGAGGTAACACAATCCCCAACTGGAAACTGCTACAGGGCTGGGGATTTGACTCAGTGGTTTCACTGCCTGCCTCACAAATGGTGCACGGTCCCAAGTTTGATCCTGTATACCCCCACCCCCAAAAAAAAAGAAAAAGAAAAAGAAAAGAAAGTATACTACAAAGCTACTGTGATAAAAACAGCATGGTACTGGCAAAGAAAGAGACCTGAGGATCAATGGAATAGCTTAGAATACACATAAACAACTCCAGACATACTCACCACCTCATCTTTGACAACACCCTCACTGGAGGAAAGACAGCCTGTTCAATAAATGGTGCTGGAAAAATCAGATTCCAACGTGCCAAAGATTAAAACTAGACCTGTATCTCTCACCATGCACTAAAGTAAAATAAAAATGGATCAAAGATCTAAATATTAAAACAGAAACACTAAACCAGCTGGAAGACAGATTAGGTAGAACTCTTGAACAGATTAGGTAGAACTGGCATAGGAAAAGATTTCAGGAACAAAACCTCAGTTGCACAAAGTGAACTAGCACAATCAATTAACTGGGACCTCATATTATTAAAAAGCCTCTGTACAGCAAGAGAAACCACCAATAGTGTGAAGAGATAACCACAATGTGAAAAAAAAATTTTTAGCAGCTCTTCCTCAGACAAAAGGCTACTATCTAGAATATATACACAACTTTTAAAAAATCAGACCTCCCAGATTTAAAGAGCCAATCCAAAAGTAGGCATCTGAAATGAAGAATCACTTTTCAAAGTAGAAACAGCAAAGAAACATGAAAAAATGTTCAGCATCACTAGTCATTCAAGAGATGCAAATGAAAAACAATGCTGAGGTTCCACCTCACCCCAGAAAGAATGGCTGCTGTCAAGAAATCAACAAATAACAAATGCTGGTGGGATTGTAGGGAGAAATGAACCATTTTCTACTGTTGGTGGGAGTGTAGAGTGGTGCAGTCACTAGAAATCAGCATGGAGATACCTCAAAAAACTAGCATTACAGGTCCCATTTGACCCAGCTATTCCCCTGCTGGGTAACTTTCCAAAAGAATTTAAAGAATCGTATCACAGCAATTTATGCAACCCATGTTTATAGTGGCACAGTTTTGAATAGCTAAATCTTGGATACAGCCCAACTGCCCATCAACTGGAGATTGAATAAAGATGTGTTTTAATAAAATCGCATACTACTCAGCCATAAAGAATGTGAAACTAGAGGCATTTATAGCAAAATGGATGCACACTGAGGCCACACTCAATTGAAATAAATTGGACACTGGTGTGTAAATACCAAATAGTTTCTCTGGTATGAGAAACTGAAAGTGTAAATGAGGACCAAAATGTTTAATAGATAATGTGAAATAGGAATAAAAGGTCCAAAGGGAAACAGAAAGTTGGGGAAAGGGGAGTTTAGGGAAAAGGAAAGAAGGGAAAGGAAAAAATGTGAGCAAAGCAAAAAATGGAAACAAAGTCTTTGTAAATAGGGAAGGGTGAAAGGCTAGAAGGGAGGGTAGAGGGATGGGGAAAAACATAAGTACCACTATATAGCATGTAAAAGTGCAAATTCCCAGTGATGAATGTCATCATATTGTGTGTCTAAAATGTGCCAATAGGGCTGGGGATTTAGCTCAGTGGTTCCGGTGCATGCCTCACAAGCACAAGGACTGGAGTTCGATCCCTGGTACCAAAAAAACAACAAAAAATTAAAATCATAATGAAGTAAAATAATACGTTTGTTAAAATGACTAAATTGAAAAGACTAATCATTCTGAATGTTGCCAAGCATGTAAAGTGTTGTAGTCAGTAGGATTGGGTGAGGGAATACATTAAATACAAGACGCATAACTCATAAGGTTATTTTATGATAATTACCCAGAGTCAAATGCAAAAGAGTCCAAGGGATTAACTGCACAGTAGAAGACCAAAACATTCAACTGAGGACCTAGATCCTAAGAGTTTCCCACACAAATCCAGCTAAAGGCTTAGATTCCAAGGCAATGTCCTCCTAGTGGCCTAGAGCCCACGGCAATGTCTCCTGCTTGTCCTTATTGAGTATCTGTACCTGGAAGGCCTAAAGGCCAGGGTGGAAGCCGGAAAATCTACACTGGTGAGATGAAGGATTTGAGTCACCAAGCTGAAAGATCCACAATGAGGCCAGGTGATGTAAAGATCAGAGCTCCCCTGCTGAAAGCAGTAGCCATTCTCAGCGACAGCGAGGTCCCGAACTCCTCCTCCGAGGAGAACCAGGAAAACCATCCGAACAAAGCAAGCCTCTCCCAGAAAATCAACAGGCCAAGATCTTCCTCCCCAGTTATTTTTATGGCTATTGGTAACAATCCTCAGGTGGGTCCTCCATGCCCAGACCACGCTGATTCAGTTCAGCTGGGCATTACAAGTTGCCCATTAGTCAATCCACTACATAAAACAACTAGGACTCAGAGTACTGACAGCAATATGAAACAGCAAGGGAATTTTGGAAAAGTTTCGCAGTGAAATTTGTATATCCTAGAAAAATAACTTTTAAAAATATTTCCAGCTTTTATTAGTAATGGTCAGAAACCAGTAGGAATCCAAATATCCATCCCAAGTAATTTTTAAAATCTGAGATATTTTCATTCTTCATAAAATAGAATCCTACTCAGAAAAAAGGATTAAGTTGCCAATACCCTCACAGATAAATCTCCAGATAATGAGTTAAAGATATACCCAAAAGGTATATAAGATTCCATTTTTATGTAATTCTAGAAAACACAAACCTACAGTGACGTTATGGTTTGTGTTCAGCTGTCCCAGCGAAGCCTCATGTTGTTGAAGTGAGACTTTTTAGGACACAGTTGAATCTGGAAGTGATGCTGGAGCTAAGGGTGTGTGATAAACAAGTACATGTGAGTGACTGGCTTGGTGTTGCCCTAATCCCAGTTGTCTGAATAAAAGGAGACGAAAGGGCTGGGGACTTAGCTCAGCGGTTTCACCACCTGCCTCACAAGCTCGAGGTCCCAAGTTCAATCCCTGGTACCAAAAAAAAAAAAAATGCTGTTATACTCTCCTTACCTTTGCTGCTTTTGTGTGCACCATGTTGTTTCCTCTCTGCCATGAACTGTAAGTCAAATAAACCCCTTCCCTTAACACCATGTTGCTTCCTCTCTGCCATGAACTGTAAGTCAAATAAACCCTTTCCCTTCTAAATGTGGATATGGAGTATTTTGTCTCAGCAAGGGTGCGGGGGAGGAGAGGGAGAGGGAGAGGGAGAGAGAATACAAGTGATACTACTGGACTGCCTAGGAATAGATGAGTAGGCAGAGGAATGATAAATGAGCACAAGGAAAATTTGGGAAGAGGGGGATATGTTCACTATCTCAACTGGAATTGCTTTATGATTATACATGTGTCAAATTATACCGAACATACCTACTTTTTAACAAGTCAGTTTTTTTGTTTTTTTGGTATCAGGGATTGAACTTGGGACCTTGCGCTTGCAAGGCAGGCAGCACACCACTGAGTTAAATCCTCGGCCCAAGTCATTTGTTTTTTACTCTTGTTCTGAGGTTATAGCACTGTTTTCCAGAGATTAAATGCCATGTCTTCATTCTATATAGAATTAATTTTTGCATATATATGTTTTAGATTTTATCATTATGGTATACACGTATTAGTGGTATGCTAGATTAGTAGTACACCAGGTCATCAGAGCTGACTGCACATCTATTCCCAACTCTGTTAGAAGTGTTATGTTAACACCTTCAATTCTATGAAAATTGGCAGATATTACTACACAATTAGGATTTTTATTACTCAGAAAGCTGTCTGCTGAACAATTACTAGCTCACCATTAGCCAGAACATACATAAGCAAAACTATATTCAAGTCCTTAATTTCTATTTATGCAAAAACATTTTGAGAAGACAAAAAGTCTGAGAACCATTAGGCTTGGTAGTTCTTTATTTATAAAATGAGAGTGTTAAAAAGCAAAAAGAAAAGCAGAAAGACACGATTTTCAGACACCACTCTACTAGAAAACATTTTTTGCCAATTCATACTGAGTTGCTTTCACCAATACTGCCACTGCCATTTTTCCATGGGAGCTCACTGCTGACCCAGTTTTTTCTGCTGGGCTTGAACCACTGGTTCCTTGAATGTGAAGCACCCAGAGTACTAGGAGAGATGCTGTGACTTCATCTGGCAAACTTAAAAAGGATCTATCACCTTGTTTCCCACAGCTAGAAACCAAAAAATTTAACTTTTTGGTACTTCTTGGAAGAGACCAGCACTAGATTAAGTTATCCAGATAATGGGTTCCAACTCCAGTAAGTGGGATAAGAGGTTTGTTACATAAACATATTGGTATTAGGTGACTCAACCACCAGGATACCAAGATCTGTTACTTCCACCAACTGCTTTGAGGTGACTTAAGAATGGCAGAAACCTCAGAGCCAGCCCCTCCTTTTTCTACTTTGACACTGGCCTGTGCCCTTTCTATGTAATATGGTGTGGAGAATGAGCATGCTGATGCTCTGTCACTCAGTAGAGTTCTCTGGATATGAAAAGGCTAAAATTTAGTGAGGCATGGTGACATGTGCTTATAATCCAAGCATTCAGAAAGCCGAGACAGGAGGATTGCTGCAAGTTCAAAGCTAGCCTGGGTTCCAGAGTGAATGTAAGGCCAGCCTCAAAAAAAAAAACAAACAAACGCTAAAATAAAAAAAAAAAGAAAAAAGGATTTATTCAGTAGGCAACAGGAGTAGAACTCTGAGCCATGTGCTCAGCAGGTATGATGCCTGGGTTCACTCCCCAACACCCCTCCCCAGAAAAAGGACTCAACAAGGGTGTTTATTATGCTGCAGAATCACATCTTGTTTTGTGACATATTGGAAACATAATCCTTAGAGCTTTTTTGGCTCCACTGCATAGAGGTCTGATCGCTTTTGTCTTAAAATTGGGATCTGCTGACGTATTTCAGCCAACTTCTTCAGGTCTGCAAACACAGCAAAGTGCATGATTAATAATTTGCAACTTCTTACTAACCAAGACAACTGCTCCCTTAAACTGTGTAAACAACCAGAATCTCAGCAAGTGACTCAGCAATACTGGCCTTATCCAAACACACAAATGGCCTGGCACTGGTCCTCAGAACATTAAATCCAAACCAAGAAAATCCAAGCTGAGCTATGCCTGGAATATTCTCAAGATAAATAAGTGGCATAAAGGAGCCCTTCAAAGTGACTAACACTTCACAGCTACAGAATCTGGTCTCAGACAGTGGGGTCACCAAAGATTTTAACTGCACCAGGGCAAACCTTACCTATATCTGAATACAGGATCATTTCTTCAGTGCCAGCTTTGGCTAGGACTTCACCCCTGAAATAAATTCAGAGGAGAATGAGCAGATTCACTGATGTCTGGTGAAACTCAAGATCTACATTTTCTTCTCACCATCTCACAAACCAAAACAACGATTCTGACATCTAAAACAAAAAACAGGATACAGTGGTGTACCCCTCTAATTCGAGTGATTCAGGAGGTTGAGGTAGGATTACAAATTCAAGGCTAGCCTGGGCAACACAGCAGGACCTTGTCTCAAAATAAATAAAAGGGGCTGGGAAGCCAGGGATTTAGCTCAGTGTTGCTGCCAGCTGCCTCCCAAGTGCAAGAACCATAGCTTGATCCTTGAACCCCCAAAAAGTGGGTGCTGGGGATGAGAGGATATAGCTAAGTGACATGAGTGCTTGTGTGAGACCCTGGGTTCAAGTCTGAGTACCACAAAACAAAAAGAGAGGAAAAAAAAAACCCAGAAAAATCAAGAAGGTAGGTATGTATATAAATTCCTAAATTCCTGTACTGTTGTTTAAGTAGCTATGTAACTTTATGGCAAGTCATGAGAATCTCCATTTCCTAATCTAAGAGCACTATATGGCTCAGTGAGATAAATATAGAGTATGCTTTATAAACTATAAACTGCTAGGAAATAGTAACTATTCCATGTTTATAAACAGTTGGGAACACAGCCTGTAACTTATTAATTGATAGAGCCTACAGCCAACTGGAAGCACCATCCTATTTCCTCGTGAATGTGTTTCAGTCAGGGCCTCTCCAAGGTGGTCTAAGTCTGCTCTGCACACCTGCTCAGGCTGCTACATGACCTGAGTATGTTGAGGTTGGGTCTGGCCAGGCCCCAGATCTGCTAGGATTTCTCTGTGCCTAAGATCTCTATGCTAATGGATTTTAGTTTCAGATTTGAGTTAAACATTTAAATCTATAAGGTATGTGTAGAAGTGGTTGGGGATCCACATGATGACAGGAACAACACTCCTAAAAAATAGTGAGAAGCTGATCTGGGAACCTATTTCCAGTGCTTAGTCTCTTGGCCTAGAGTAGAGATTCAAACGTAGCTAATGAAATGAATGTTTTCCAAAGTAATCTCTCATAATAATACGATGTATCTATTGATTTCCCTTACCAGACAGTCACAAACATTTTGGCAGAGATGAGTTACAAACACCACCATTTAACTAAATCCTTTTTTGTTTTTTTCTAATTCTTGTCTACCTGGCAATTTAAAGATTCTTCTCTGCACAGCCCTGGATACCCATACCACAACAATATAAACCAGAGTTGCCGGGCGTGGTGGTGCACGCCTGTAATCCCAGCACTCGGAAGGCTGAGGCAGGACGATTGCTGTGAGTTCGAGACCAGCCTGGGCTACATAGTGAGTTCCAGGTCAGTCTCAACTACATAGTGAGACCCTGTCTCAAAAAAAACAAAAAACAAAACAAAACAAAAAACATATAAACCAGAGTCCCCAAACCCTGCAAAGGAGGAAATTAAGGCCAACCACATGCAATTACATCATGTCAGAAGCAGCAAGCATGGGCCAGAGATGTAGCTCAGTGGTACAGTGCCTGCCAGGCAAGCACAAGGCCCTATGTTCAATTAAAAAAAAAAAAAAAAAAAAAAAAAACCAAAAAAAACATAAACCAGAGTCCCCAAACCCTGCAAAGGAGGAAATTAAGGCCAACCACATGCAATTACATCATGTCAGAAGCAGCAAGCATGGGCCAGAGATGTAGCTCAGTGGTACAGTGCCTGCCAGGCAAGCACAAGGGGCTCTAAGTGTTGTTTAGCTTTTCTCATCTTGTTTCTGGTCTATTTATCCTGAAACTAGAAATACATATCAGTATGTTATGTGTACATTCACTTGTAAATAGGATTAGTATAGATTAAAGTTCTGAAATCCAAAGTCATGGACTCAAACACGAGTTATAGCCACTTAACTCTGTGAACTCCAATTCTACCATCTATAAACTGAGCTTAGTAAGACTAAATCCATTAGTTCAAGTTGCAATAGTGTATAAAAGTGCAAGGTACATTACAAATACAGACGAAAGGTATGCATATTAAGGGATGTCAAAGTGTGTGTCTGGACAGACTTTCATGCTACTTTCACTGAGTAATAAAAATGCTGTACCCAAGGGACAGAATCAGTTTTCCCTACTGAACCCATCCTCCTTTTCCCCTCATCATTATGCTAGGAACAAAGTTCTCACCCTGTAACTTATTCCTCCCCAAGAAATAGCCTAAATTTTAACCAAAAGCCAAAAAGTTCAGGAGGTTCTCTTACTAATACCACCACCCATGACTGTTACCTCGATTACCCTAAGAGATCCAAGTATGACTGACAGTGTAGGTCACTTGGACAAGCAGAAGAGTGCTAAGCACTCAGGTAAACAGAAAAATGTCCTTCCCATGTGGATTTCAAGTAGAAGCTTTTCTTAATGTCTGTCATGTTGTTTGGGGAAATGGGGTAGAAGGTGCTGCCCTTGTGTCATCTCCCAAGCTCCACTGAGCCCACCCTCACTTAGACACACTCACCAAGGATTCACAACAGTGCTGTGTCCCCAGGCAATATATGAGGCTTTGTCATCCCGGGCAGGAGAGGCTGTGGCCACATACACCTGATTATCAACAGCCCTGTAGACAATAGATAGAAGGAGATAACCAAAGATTTGCAACAGTTTTGTATCCCTCGTGTACAAAACCTTAAAAAAAAAAAAAAGGACAGAAACAAGCAGTAGAAGAATAAAAAAGGTAAACACTTCAGGACATTGGAGTGGGCAAAAGTTTCTGGGCAAGACTTCAAAAGCATAGGAAACAAAACCAAAAATTAGACAAATGGGATTATAGCAAACTAAAAACCTCCTGTTCAGTAAAGGAAATACTGCAATCAACATAGTGAAGAAAACCTACAGAATGGGAAAATATATTTGCAAATTATACACAATATCTGACAAAGGGTTAATAACTAGATTCAATTCCCAATACCAGCAAAAGAATAATAAAGGGCAATAGATCTACATAGACATTTCTCAAAGAAGAAATACAAATAATGCTGTAGTTTGGATCTTGAATGTCCCCTGCAACAGCCAGGGGATTGAAGGCTTCGTGGGCCATGACAGGACCAGGAGGTGAAGGAAACTTTAAGAAGTGGGGCTGAGTGGGAGGAAAGTTAGATTAATTGGGGTGTGCCCTCAGAGGAGATGTTGGAACCCCAACCCTTCTCATTCTCTCTTTGCTTCTGAGCCACCATGAGGTGAACAGGCTCTTCGTCACAAACTCCAGGAATGATGAACTGTGACAACACAGGACCAAAGCAACAAGGCAAGCAAGAATGCGCTGAAACAATGTGCCAAAGTACATCTTTCCTCCTTATAAGCTGCTTATATCAAGTATTTTGTCATACTGACAGAAGGTGAACCAACATAAACAGCTAAAGTAAAAAAATGTCTAACAGGACCAGGGATTGAACTCAGTGGTTCCACCACCTGCCTCACAAGCGCAAGGTCCTGAGTTCAATCCCCGATACCAAAAGAAAAAAAAAAAAAAAAAGTCTAATATCACTATCATCAGGGAAATGCAAATCAAAACTACAAAGTTGAGATACTGTCTCATCTCAGTAAGTCAGCTATTCAGTATAGATGCAATTTTTGCTCTGAAAAAAGATTAACTCACATGGGTATCCCCCAAGTTTTCCTTACCTTAGATGAGACTGCACACATTAATATTCATGGGATCTTATTTCCATTTTGGGGGGGTGCCAGGGATTGAACTCAGGACTTTATACTTGCAATTCAGGCGGTAGAAACACTGAGCTAAATCCCCAGCCCACTATCATAAATCCTGACTCCATCTTCCAGCTTGCAATCAACCAAAATCTCTTTCCTTTCCATTAAAAGTTACTATCATGTACTTAACAGATGTTTACAGAGTGTTCTACCCCACAAAATCAGAATGCACATTCTTTAAAGGTGTACACAGCTCATTCTCCAAAATAGATCACACACTCACTCATAGAACATGTTTAAGTAAATGCAAAGGAATTCAAATTATTCCCTGTATATTATCAGATCATAGTGCAATGAAATTGGAGAACAACAGCAAAAGAAACCACAAGAATTTCATAAACACATGGAAACTGAACAACACACTACTGAACAACCAGTGGGTCACAGAGAAAATTAAAGAAGAAATTAGTTTCTACAATTAAATGACAAAGCCAGTACAATATATCAGAATTTATGGGTCACATTGAAAGCAGTCTTATAAAGGAAATTCATAGCAATGAAAACAGAGCAAGCTCAAATGAGCAACCTAATGCTGAACCTCAAACTTCTAGAAAAAGGAGAGCAGGACAAACCCAAAGTCTATACAAGGGAGGAAATTATGAAGATCGGAGTAGGAATCAATGCAATGGAGACTAAGAGAATAATTACAAAAATATCAATGAAGCAAAAATTTGGTTCTTCAAAAGAATAACCAAAATTTACAAACCCCTAGCCAACTTTATCAAAAAAAGGAAAGGCCCAAATACGTGAAATTAGGAGCGAAAAGGGTGAATTACAACAGACCCAGCAGAAATCCAGAAGATCCTCAATACCTACCTTGAGAACCTATATGCCAGTAAGATTGAAAACACAGAAGAAATGGTCAGATGTCTAGATACACATGAATTGCCAAAGTTAAATGAAGAAGACCTAAAAATTCTAAACACCCCAAGATCAATCCACAAAATTGAAAACATTATTAAAACTTCCAACAAAGAAAATTCCAGATCCTGATGGCTTCACTGCTGAATTCTCAAGACATTTAAAAAAGAACTAGTGCCACTACTGTTTAAGCTCTTCAATGAAGTTGAAAGGGAAGCAATACTCCCAAATTCATTCCTGGAAGCAAGCATCACCTTGATCCCAAAAGGAGAGAAAGACCCAATCAAACAAGAGAACTATAGTCTAATCTATTGAACATAGATGCAAAAATCCTCAATAAGTTACTGGCAAACACAATGCAGAAGATCATCAAGATCATACACCCTGACCCAGTGGGATTCATCTCAAGGATGCAGGGATGGTTCGAAATATGTAAATCAATAAATGTAACACACTATATTAACAGAGCCAAGGACAAAAACCATATGATCATCTCAACCGATGCAGAAAAAAAGTTTGAAAAAATCCAACACCCATGCATGATAAAAACTCTATGGAAAACTGGAAAAGATAGTCTTTATTGCAACCCAATAAAAGCCATATATGAAAAACCAACAGCCAACGTCACACTAAATGGTCAAAAACTGAAATCCTTCATGCTAAAATCAGGGACAAGACAAGGACGTCCACTATCACCACTCCTGTTCAATATAGTTCTGGAAACATTAGCCATAGCAATTAGACAAGAGAAAGAAATAAAAGGAATAAAGATAGAAAATGAAGAAGTTAAACTGCCATGATTTGCGGATGACATGATACTCTACATAGAAGACTCCAAGGACTCCACCAAAAGTCTTCTACACTTAATAACCAAATTCAGCAGAGTAGCTGGATCCAAGGTCAACACACAAAAATTAATAGCCTTTTTGTACAAGAGCAACAGACTCACTGAGAGAACTGGAGAAACATCTTCTTTCAAAATAGCATCCCAAAAAAATGAAACACCTAGGAACCAACCTAACAAAAGAAATCAAAGGCCTCTACTCTGAAAACTATGGCACTCTGAAAAAAGAGATCAAAGAGGATATCAGAAAGAAATTGGACTTCCCAGATTTGAAGACTCAATAAAAAAATAGACATCTGAAATGAACATCTCTCAGGCAAAGCAGAAACAGCAAAAAGAAATAGGCAAAAATGTTCAGCATCACTGTTCATTCAAGAGATGCGAATGAAAACAATGCTAAGACTCTACCTCACCCTAGAAAGAATGGCTGCTATCAAGAAATCACCAAATAACAAATGCTGGCAGGGTTGTAGAGAAAAAGCAATCCTGCTCCACTCCTTGTGGGAATGTAGACTGGTGCAACAACTGTGGAAATCAGTATGGAGATACTCAAAATACTAAGATTAGAGGTCCCATTTGACCTAGCTTTTCTGCTGGTACCTTACCAAAAAGTATTAAAAGAATCATACTACAGTGATATATGTACATACATGTTTATTATGGCACAGTTCATAACAGCTAAATCTTGGATACAGCCCAAACGCCCATCAACTGGTGACTGGATAAAGACGATGTGTTTTAATAAAATGAGAGTATTACTTCGCCATAAAGAATGTGAAACTAGAGACATTTATAGCAAAATGGATGCATACTCAGGCCATAGTCTTAAGTGAAATAAATAGGGCACACACATGTGTAAATACCAAATAGTTTCTCTGGTGTGAGAGAAAGTGCAAATGAGGACCAAAATGTTTAATAGATAACATGAAATAGGAAGAAAATGTCCAAAGGGAAAGAGAAAGTTGGTGGGGGTAGGGGTGTAAGGAAAAGGAAAGAAGGGAAAGTAAAAAATATGAGCAAAGGAAAAAAATGCAAACCTTTGTAAATAGGGAGGGCTGCAGGGGCTGTAGGGAGGGCAGGAGAATTCAGAAAAAATAAGAATGAAAATATGTCATGTACAGGTACAAATTCCCAATGATGAATGTCATCATATTGTATACCTTAATAAATTTAATGAATTTTTAAAAAAAGCTGCCATCATCTGTAGAAAGGAGAAGAATGGCTGCCTCAGGGCAAAGCGAGGACAATACCAGTAGGGAAGGGGCCCAAAGAGCATTTTGGGGGCTGGAAATGTTCTATGCTGATCTTGGTAGGAAGTGAATATGTAAAATACAAGTTCACTAATCTATGTACTTAAAATAGGTATACTTTTCTTTAAGTATGCTATAACCAAATTTTACAGGATGCCATGAGGAAAACTGTATCTGTGACAGCATTTTATGGTTTATAAACACACACTCACACACGCACACACATGCGCACAGGAGCATTCGCTTTCTCTCCTGTGCTACCCATGCCTGCTATTTGCTCTCCACCACTCCTCAACCTTAGAGAACTAAGGAAAAAGCAGCTGTAATATGCCAAGGATATTTGTGCAAGGCCTTGGATATATAGGTTAGAAGAACAAGATCTACATACAATGAACTTCTCGATGGAGTGTCCTCCAGGCCAGCAGGATGTGTAGAGGATAGGGTGGGATAAGCACACTATTCTGAATGATAGGGCCAAATGCATGAAGACCACTCATCTCTCCCTGAGGCTGTCAAGCAAAAATAAATGCTATCTTTTCCTTGGCATTCAGGGCTCTGAACATGTAAGTTCTGCAGATCTCAATTTCTCTGTAAAAGTTGCTTGGGACTGTCCTAAGAGAGACCAATCCACAGCTAATTACAGAAAAATTAAATCACTGCCAAAATGACACAATGAATGCAATTAAAAATGCAAAAACCACAATTTTCAAATCCTTCAGGTTGGTACTTTGTCTTCTGAAGAAGTCCTGTAAATTGATCTGTTCCAACTGCATCTGATTCATCCTTTCCAATTGTATCCGGATGCCAAAGCATGCCAGGTAAGGAAAAGAATTCACTTCAGGAAAGCTGACACTTTCACCAAACTGGACATCTTTCCATAAAGAAGAAAAATTGAGATGTTTGATTTCTTTCTTACCGGCCTCGTTGAAGCAACTCCCAGTGAGCTGGTCCAGTGGTCAAATTGAAAGCCCCAGGATACACCAAGAGCTGGCATCCTGGGGGAGTGACAAGGCAAAGAACGGGGTGTAGATGAACAATCAGAGACACAGTCCCTCCCTTTAATCCTTACCCAACAAGGATAAAATTCAAGCTTTTTCAAGCACAGAAAGATGTCAGCCTCATCAGAGTCATCAACACTAAGATACGGCTCTGAATTCTTTGAGACACACACATAAAACATAGTCACAAGAAAAGTACGACTGATGCTTGAAATCAGAACATGTGCCTTCACTTTAAAAAAGTGGAGAACTCTCATTCAAATTTCTCTCAGCACGAGAAGGTCAGAGTTGTACAGCCAAGAAGCATGTTTTGTGACTCTTCGACTAAAAATAAGGGCACAACAGTTCCTGTAGTGCTTACTGCTAAGACTTAAGAGAGACTGTTAAACCCAGAGCCTGGGTCCTCCACTTTCTGCTGAGCAGGCAGTCAAGTCAGAAGTGAAGTGACAGTCAAGTCAGAAGTAGCTTCACTGGTTCAGTAAGGTTGTTAGTATTTGCTGAGTACCACAGAAGAGGCTTTGTAAGTTCTCTTTCATTAATCATTATGCCATTTCTATAAAGAAGTTAGAAACTACACTGCTGTAGAGGTTAAATGATTTCCCCCAAAGTATTATGTTAATTAAGAAGAGTTAGAACCAGAAACCAGATCTGGTTTGGTTCAGTGTGCTTTCCAGACACTAACAATCTTCTAACATACTTTCCAGACACTCACATACTTCTCTTTGTCTGAACCAAAGTATCACCGAGAATATATCTGACTGCTGAAATCGCAAGAGGACAGGCCATGTTTTCATTTCTACTAGGCTGCAAGTGACTTGAAACACAGTTAACAGGAGGGACTCAAAAGGTAGACTAGACATTTGAAAGCATGCCTTTTGCCTTAGCAATATAGCATGTGTTAAATTAGAAGCATCTAAAAACCTTATTATCCATATGCAGCACAGTCTAAGAAGCCAGACAGGAGTGGAGGAGCTACACATGGAGAGAGTAAGACTCCACCCCTAAATGTTTTGTGCATTTGTGCAAAATTTGGGTTAAGAGAGCCAGGGATTTAGCTCAGTGATGCTGTCCCTGCCTTGCAGGCACAAGGCCCTGAGTTTGATACCTGGTACCGCAAAAAAGAAGAAAATTTGGGCTAAGAGTTCTTTCTACCCCCTCGGAAACTAGCCCAGAACCAAACCTCCAAATATGTAATAGAACTGTAGCACTGCCTCACCTCTCTGTGCATAGATTTGTGCAAGCTCAGGAAAGCGCATGTCGTAGCAGATGCCCAGGCCCACTCTGCAGTAAGCTGTTTCCAAACAGAAAAGCACAAAGGAAAAGTTAAACCTCTGTAGCATGGTGTGGCAGCATAAAGCTTCCATGACTTAATGATCACAAGATACTGACAAGTATAAATTAACACAGAACCCCTGGATGAAGACAATTTATAAGTTTACTCCTCTTGGGACTTTATCTGATGTAGTCATCATTTACCCCATCAGAGTAGAGATAAGAAATTCATTTTAACTGAATGCTCCTTATCTAGGAACAAGGTTCGATCATGACCTAACAAGAAAACTCTAATAGGAGGTTATGCTCAAGTAGAAGTGTAAAATCATATTAAACCCTTAATTCTTCATTTGGACCCAACTTTCCACATCTCTGACTGTTCTCTGCCTCCCTCATTTCTGATCTTTCAAACAGGTTAAGTGAAGAAGGTGGAGAGAGATATAAAATAAAAAGAAAGGTATACCTATTCCTCTTCACTGGGATTACTTAAAGAGGCAAACTTATCTGGTACATACGGGTATCAAATGTGGAGAAACTATCACCAGGACTCAATGTTTTAGATTCTTGAAATGTAATTTTCCCAGGAACATCAATGTCAAACAGATGGATCTGCATCACAAATAATTGATTCTGTTATTATCTTTTTTCCAAGCACAGTTCATGGCAGTAAGGACAGACTTTCCACAGGTAGATATAAAAGTGCCCTAAAATCAACTGTACAAACATTACAACCAACCTGCTCATAATCCACCCTCAAGCTGGCTGACATCTGAGCACAGGAATTCTACCACAGGAAACTGGGAAAATGATATTATAGGTTTTATAATACTTTTTCAATATAGTGTACAAGTCAATGTTCAGTTTCTTATGGGAAGTAAGTAATATACTGCTGTTTTACTCACTATAAATGGTAACGATTTCTCAGAATCAGAATCAAACTGACAACTAGCAGAAGAGGTGGAAAATGAACAATATTTAAAAACAGGTAAAATTCTGCAAGCCAAATTCAGTAATGTATAAAAAGAATAATGTATCACTTCTTAATTTGATTTATTCAAGGAAGGCAAATGTAGTTTAACATTAGAAAAGCAACATAATTTATCATAAAGTAAAACAGAACATCACATTATTGTCTCCAGAAATGTATACTAAATATCTGGTAAATAATTGTGATTTGTGTGTGTGTGTGTGTGTGTGTGTGTGTGTGTGTGTGTTCGAGATTGAATCCAGGACTTTGCACTTGCAAGGAGAGCATTCTACTTCTGGGGTACATCCCCAGCCTACATTTGGTAGACTTCTAAAACCACTTGTGATTTTAAAACAAAACAAGCCAGGCATGGTGGCACATACCCATAATCCCAGCACTCTGGGCGGCTGAGGCAGAAGGACCACAAGATCAAGCTCAGCCTGGGCAATTAGCAAGCTAGTGAGACCCTGCTTCAAAATAAAACATGTTCAAACAAAAGTATGGATGTAGCTCAGTTCAAAGAACTCTAACTTCAATCCCCAGTATTATTAAATAAATAAATTACAGAAAACTCTTCCAGGAAGGGAACTTTTTAAATTTGATAAAGAGTGCCTTTAAAAATTCTAAACAAACACATTTTAGGATAAAATACTGAAAGCCTCCTCTCTGAGACTGGAAACAAGAAAGGATATCTTTTATTCAGCAGTGTACCAGATATGGTACATAGAGTAAGATCCAAGAAAGGAGTAAAATATACAAAGACTGGAAAGAAAAAATGAAATCTATCATTATTCTCTGACTATATAATTGATACACAAAAAATCTAAAGTATTAAAATTAAAGTATTAGAATTAATTATTAGAAAAGCATGGCTTTTATATTATATACCAGATCAGTACTTTGAAAACTTGTGTACTTGCATATACTACCAAGAAACAGAAAATGAAAAGTCATCAAAAAATACCAATAAGGGCAGCCATGTGTGGTGGCACATGCCTGTTAATCCCACCACTTAGGAGGCTGAGGCAGGAGGACTGTGATGAGCTCAAGGCCAACCTGGGTTACATAGTGAGTTCAAGGTCAGCCTTAACTAAAACAAGACAGTCTCAAAAAACAAAAACAAATAAAAAAAATCCCAATAAGGAATAATCTAACAAATTATATATAAGTCTAAACCCAGAAAACTATAAAAAGAAGTTGAGAGAAATTAAAGAATGGCACAAAGAGAGAGATATATTCCACAATTATGGACTGGTAAGCTCAATACCAAAAAGGTACACTTCAAAGAACTGAGCAATTAAGTTGGCTCTTCTTCCTGCAATGGTAGAGTGGCTCCTATCAGATCAGCTTTTTGATATTTCACTATGAATTCTGGACTGAAGAACGACTCAAGATATATAAAGCCTGAAGGAAATCAATGCTTGAAAGAAGAGAATAGCACTGGGTGAGTTTTGTTTTGTTTTTTTTTTTGTTTTAGCTCAGGCTGGCCTCAAATTCACGGCAATCCTTCTGCCTGAGCACTGGGATCACAAACATAAGTCACCACATCTAGCTTCGTTTTCCCATTTGTTAACAGGTTTCAACTGTAAGCCAAGCCCCAGGTTTGCTATGAGAACTGTAATAACCACCCACAATTATACTGGTCTAAAAAACCAAAGACTAGAGTTTCACAGCACCTGAAGAGCATGTGGGAGAATCCTGAAACAGAGAGAGCCAAAGAGGGAGACCCCCAACTTCTCCATATACAATCTGTCCATATCTTTGGTGACCACAGAATTAAATGAGAGGCACAACCACCAGGCAGCCAGCTGAGGCTAAACAACTTTATAAACAAAATAGCAGCTAAAATTGTTGCTCACCTCATGAAGAAGTTAAAAATTTAGTGTTTGAGAACAGCCAAGTTACTTACCTACTAAAACAAAAATATTTTACTTTTGTTGGAATATAATAGAACCTAGAATGTCTACAACATATAATCCAACAAACAATCCTAATTTACTTGACAAAGAAACAGAAATGTTACCCAAATGCCAAGGAAAAGGTAATCAAATCAGCACAGACCCAGATACGACCCAGGTATGACAATTACCCAAAACTTTAAGACAAATACTGAAAGTAAGCTCAAGAGCATAAAGAAAAATATGTTCTTAATCCATAAACAAGTAGGAGGGCTCGGAATTTAGCTCAGTGGTTCTGCCACCTTGCCTTGCAAGCACAAGGTCCCGAGTTCAATCCCTGGTACCAAAAAACTATCAGTAGGAACTAACAGTAGAGAACAAAAAACTATAAAAAAGAACTAAAAGTCTATTTAGAACTGAAGAATTTTAAATCTGAATTTTAAAACATTTCACTGGATTGACTTACAGGATGGTGGAAAAAGTGCCAGTGAACCTGACAGAGCAACATAATTATCCAATGTGTAGAACAGAGAGAAAAAAAGACTAGAAAACAAGATTTAAAAACCAGGGCTAGGCATGAAGTTTCATAAGAAGGAAATTAGACAAAAAATATTTAACAAAATATACTTCAAAAACTTCCCAAATATGGTGAAAGATTTAAATTTACAGATTCAAGAAGCACCAAGCAGGACAGACACAAAACCACAGGTAGAGACACAGGATTCAAAATGCTGAGAACTAACAATTATAAAAAAACTTGAAAGCAGAAAGAGAACAACAAATCCTATACAAGGAAACTACAACCTAAGTTACTACTGACTAATCGGGGAACAAAAGAGACTAGACAAAACCTACTAAAGAAAAAAGTCAAAAAAGAAAAAAGTCAACTCAAATTCTATGCCAAGAAAAATATCTTTCAAGAATGAATACAAAGTAAAATTATAGCCAAAAGCAAAAACAAATCATAGCAAGCTGATACTCACTACAAAAATCATGATGTACATCATTCTGTCTAAAAGATATCAGTAGAATAGGATCTTTAGGAAGGAAAGGAAAATACCAGAAATGGTAAATATTTGAGTAAGGTGAGTTTTTTTTTTCTTATTTTAAAGTATGTATGACTAGTTAAATCACAAACTACTGTTTTGAGAGATTTATACCATATAGATATGGAATCCATATAGAAACTACAGCATAAAGAATTGGGGATACCACAGACATAGGCAAGGACTTTCTGAACAGCATCCTATCACCATAGTAAGTAGTACCAAGAGTCAACAAAAAGGATCCTATCAATTTAAAAAGCTTCTGCACAGCAAAGGAAACAACCAACAGAATGAAGAGACAACCTATACAATGGGAAAAAATTTTTGCCAGCTATTCCTCAGACAGAGGACTAATATCTAGAATATACAAAAACTAAAAAAAATTAGACACCCCCAAAATAAAAGACCCAATCAAAAAATGGGGAAATAAAATAGACATTTCTCAGAAGAAAAAGTACATATAGCCAATAAATACATGAAAAAATATTCAATATTGCTGGCCATTAGAGAAATGCAAATTAAAGAACACTGCATAAAAAAAAAAATAAACAAACACTGAGCTGGTCATGGTGGTGCATGCCTGTAACCCCAGCACTCAGGAGGCTGAAACAAGAGGATCTTCATGAGTTCGAGGCCCACCTGGGCTACACTGGAAGTTCAGGGAAGCCTGAACTACGTAAGACCTTTTCTCAGGGAAAAAACAAAACTAAGATTCTATCTTACTCCACAAAGAATGGCTACCACCAAGAAATCAACCAATCACAAACGCTGGTGAGGCCGCAGGGAAAAGAGAACCCTTCTCCACTGTCGATGGGGTGTAAACTTGTACAACCAATACAGATATCAGTGTGGAAATTCCTCAAAAAACTAAAACTAGAAATTCCATTTTACCAAGATGTTCCCCTAAAAGTCAACAGCATATATTACAGTGAAACATGTAACTAAATCTTGGAAATGGCCTATATGTCCATCAACAGATGAATGTATAAAGAACATGTGGCATTACAGTTGCATATATATATGCAACTTGAATCACTTGTAGGAAAATGGATGCATCTTGAGACTATAACGGGAACTGAAATAAATCAGACCCACAAATATAAATGTTACATTGTTTTTCTTATATAAGAAAACCAAAACACAGATAGAGAGCAAAATAAAAGATAGATAATAGGAAATAGGAAAATAGATCTTTTTCAAATGGGAAGGGGAGGGGCAAGAAAGAAGATGAAAAGAGAATTGAGATGTGCTTTGAACATGTACCAACTCCCCACAAGGAATGTAATCATTATAAATTGTAAACACACACTAGTAAAAATAAAAACAGAAAAAAAAAATTGGGGAGAGGAAACAGACACATATTATTTCAAGTTTTTAAAATTTCACATAAGTGATAAGTAGCCTATGACAATGATGCAAAGATGTATATTATAATTCCCAGGGCAACAAATGAATAAAAAAAGAAACATTAAAAAGCATGGCTGGGAGCGTAGTTCAGTGGTAGAGGTTTACTTAGCAAGCATGAGGCCTTCGGTTCAATATTCAACACCAAAATAAAATACAAAAAGGATGAACAAAGGTAAAAAATAAAATACCTGTACACTTAAATCTAACCACATCAATAATTACATTATAAATAGATGAACCGCTCCAGTTAAAAGGCAGAAACTGTCAGTATGAATAAAAACAGTAAGACCCAACTCTGTCTACAAGATAGCCTTTAAAGGCAAACAATTATAAGCAAAAAGTGACTACAGTATTGGCAGAGATAAAACTAAGACAAAGAAAAAAAAGGAAAAAAAAGACATCTCATAATGATAAAAGATCCATTCACTAGGAAAACTTGGCAAACCTAAGTGTATATGCATTTAATACTGCAAAGATGTGCCCTCACCCCATTCAATGAACTGCTTTCAAAAAATTCCTGCAGTTGTTCCTTTGCAGAAACTGACAGGCTATCATCTGTATTTACATAATAATGCAAGTACAGGTAGCCAAGAACTGCCACTCCTGCCAGTCAAACACATGATGCCTGTACAATGTTGTAAAAGCAGGGGTAGGGGACATCAAAGCAAATTCATAAAGGAAATGAATTTACACACTCCCTACTTACTTTTCTGTGTTTTACTAGTAAAGTTCCATCAGGCCCAAACACAGCACAGGTGTTATACAATTTCCCAGCATCCTCCTCAGGGATGGAGCCTTTCATTGAGAAAGAAACAAACAGGCACATGAAACAGTGTTAATAAAAATGGGCAATCATTTTATGAAAACTAAATAAAGATCTCATAAATTCTCCCTTATATCTAATAAAGTTTATTCTTTCAAGTGTTACTTAAGCACTTGTTTTCCTTTTTTTTTTGGTACCAGGGATTGAACTCAGGACCTTGTGTTTGCAAGGCAGGGGCAGCACCACTGAGCTAAATCCCTGGCCCACTTGTTCTTCTTGATCTTCAAAGATAAATGCCAAAGTGTAGATGAAATACAATTAGGTCAGATGCCACAGACAGGCTTAAAAACTAATCAAACTGTTCCTGAAATTCAGACATCATCTTAAGAAACACTTAATATGTAACATTAGAGAAAAATAAATAATTTCTTGTTGCTAAGTTAAATATACCAGGCCCTGCAACAACACTGTATTTCAAAAGGCCTCAGGATGAGACGTAAGTCACAGGCCCTCCATTACTGAATGTAGTTCCAGCTCTACCCTTTCTTGCTTTGTCATCTCTTATTCTTTTCTAATCCTTAATATATCATAATACAAAGATTAATTTTGTTTGCTGTATATAGTGAACAGTTTAGTTTTTTTTGTTTTTTTTTTAAGCCAGGGTCCCACTGTGTAGTTCAGTCTGGACTTAAACTCACTGTGAAGCCCAGGCTGGCCTTGAGCTCTTGGAAATCCTCCTGCCTTGGCCTCCCAAGTGTTAGGATAATGGGCATAAAACAGCGTCCTCAACTCATTTGCTTATTTTTTATTTTAGCAATAGAATATTTTAAAATGCATTTCAAAAGCACAAAAATGAAGCTATCTTTATGTATGTGGTCACTATGAAAAAATTTTTCTCAATCCTATATTATATAATAAAAGACACATATGATTTCTCTTTTCCTATTTCTTTTTTTTTTTTTTTTTTTTTT